CAGCATTCCGATCTAGAAAACCCTAGTGGGGTTGTAGCGAACCATCCTCTTCGATTGGGTTATGAACCATTCCTCAACTGGACGAGGCGTTTGGGGTTGCAGGCCGCCCACTTCAAGCACCAGTGCTGGTACCCCCTCACTGCAGGTGGGTAGGAACTAAATACAGGTAAGAGTACAAATCCAAAAAAATTATTGAGTCACCGTTAATGAGTGATAAACACGTTCATTCAATTGTACATGTAGTCAAAAGTCTCATAATTATAATAGATACTCAACCTATGTTAAAAATAATTATGTGAGTGTGAAGTTGCACACCGGCCCTCACCTGTCTGTAAATGTGCACAAACAAGCCTGCTTCCAGCACCCTCTAGAACTAGTGGGTTAGGCGCTTAGTGTGATTGTTATGAAGGCGAACACCACTGACGAGGCGGTTGGTGTTGCAGGCGCCCACTTGCAACACCTTGGGTACAGTGCACTGAGGGTGTTCAGACTATAGCAGTTGTAACGAGAGACAAGCAGAGATTATGAGGTCCCCTTCAGCAGCGCAGAACACTTCAGGCGAAGGCTTGAGTGACCCAGTCTATGCTACAGTGATTGCGACAGCCACCTTGGTGTTGGTTTGTGTTGCACAACGGCACTGTGTGTCTGTTGTACCCCCATGTGGCACCTGTGAGGGGCGAGCGTGGGGCGAGGCAGCCCACCCTTGCATCAGCAACACCCCTTCAAATAACTACTCTTGCTACTGCTGTTCTCTTCATATTGCTTTGCGACTCTGGCGTCAGCGTTGAACCTTTAGAGCCGTCAGACCCTTGGGAACCTGACGACGCCGTCGGTAGTTGTATGATCCTTGCGACACCTGTGGTCGGTGACTGGGTCGTGACCCTACACTGGAGACGCCGCGAGGCCGCAACGAGCACGGCGGCGAGGGATGCCTCAACCCAGGAGGAGGAGGAGGGTGGAGACCCCAGCTGGAACTCTGTGCAGGACTTGCTCTTGGGGCGATTCCTGCGAGCCTCGACCACCGCGGACAACTCTTTTAGGTTTGGAGATTGTGTCTGAGGCAGTGAAAGGCACTTGCGGCGAGGGTACCGCTGGTACTGCTGGCCGCTGTCACTCTCCGAAGTCCCGCTGTTGCTGTCCTTGCGGAACTTGCCCACGGTACTGTTCTTGCGGCTGGCGGGGCCCTTCTGTTGCTGGTTGTTAATCACGCTGTTTTTACGACTGTTCGGCTGTGAGGTCTTCTGTTGTTGAGTCTTATCTGCTTCTTCATGTGACTCGGTCAGGATGGGCACTACTTTCATGCCGTCCTCACTGGACATGTCGGTGGCCGCCTTGGCAGCCTCTGGTGTCTCGAACTCCACCCAGGCGCAGTTAGTGCCAGTGAGTGATGGGTGTTTGGTGGCCAGGGACTTAAGGTCCTGAGGGATGGCACTGCCCACACGCACCACCCGGATGAAGGCGATCTCCCCGCACGAGGAAAACAACTCTGAGACAGACTGTATGCTGGGCTTCTCTAGTGGCAGACTGAGGACCAGGACTGCGCAGGTCACTGGCACCTCCTCCAGGTCTGGTAGTGGGTCCACTCGACGGATCTTTGTGCCCACGTCGTTAATTCTGGATCTTGGAAGAACACTTGTTGAGGGAATGGGCTACCACGCGCCAGTCCTTCGTCAGCTGTTTCACTTTCTTGAAGGAGGACACTAACTTGAGCGAGACGTAGCCCTCCTTGTTGCGACGGATATGCTTGAGCAGAAACTTGTCCTTGGCGACATTGGCGTCGCTGAAGTAGAACTCGACTTGGGCCACGATGCGGGTCATGAGGTCCTCGTCGGGGACCACCATGTCGGGCTCCCGCTCGGCCTCGATGCCGGAATCCCGACCACCTTCCTCGCTGCCGTCAGAAACTACGCTGGAGGACCTCTCCGAGCGAGGCTCCAGCTCAGACCCCTCCTGCGCCTCCTGACCCTCAGGGTCTGGGCCCTCAGGGGCGGAGTCTGCCTGGATGCCCTCCTCTTCCTCCATGCTGCCCACACTCTCGCATGAGTCCTGACGCCCCAGCTTGGAGACCAGCTCCGTCGGGAGGGAGACTTGCGCCGTCAGGCGGTCCTGCCGACCGCCCGTCGGCTTGTCACTCTCTGCTTCTATCTTAAAGGTAACAACGACACTGTCGGAGACGGCGAGAGAGTCTACGACGACAGTGTCTGTGACGACGGTGGTGGAGCCAGTGTCGGCGACCTCAGGCACCTGTGGCAGCTCCTGTGCCACCACCAGGCACTCCTCCGCTACCGACATGACCGCTCACAGACAAGTATCACAGAATTTCAGTATCAAAACAGCGGTGTATATCAGGAGGACTGGGGTCAGTGTGAACAGTCCTCAGGGCCTATAGACTTTATAGTCTAGAAAACCCTGCGTCTTCACGTGGGACCGCGTGATAGCACACTACCGTAGCGGTGTTGTGGTAGCAGCGACACGTCTTGCTCAACTGACCCACCACACA